AAATATCAATTGGGAAACGGTTCATCTTATATTAGACTACCAGAACCGATTATAAGGAAAAATGCTTGTATAAACATTAAAAATATAGATCAAAATTGCTTTTACTGGGCCATTGTAAGCGCTCTTCGGACTCCTAGCAATAAAAGACATGCAGAACTAACCTCCTCATATCCACACTTTACTGACGTTTTACAAACAGAAAATTTAGATAGTCCTATGCTGCTAACAAAAATTTCAAAATTTGAAAAGATGAATAACATTTCAGTCAATGTTTACGCTTTAGAATTGATCGAAACAGAAAAAAAATCATTTTACATAGTAGTACCAGCAAGATTAACGGAAAATAAACGGGATACGCATGTTAATTTACTTTTAGCTCAAAATAAATATTATCCGCGTTTAAATGATTATGATGCTCCTCCACCAGCGCCAGCAAATGAAGATAATGATTCAATCGATGAAATTAAATATCACTATTGTTGGATTAAAAATCTTTCGCGTCTTATTAGTAGCCAGTTAAATAAACATCGTGAGAAAAAATTTATTTGCGATAGATGTCTGAACTATTTCCATCAGCAAAATAAATTAGTTGAACATGAAAAACTGTGTTCTAAATTTAATAAATATAAAATTAACCTTCCTAAAGAGAGCTGCGTTGAATTTAAAAACTTTACATACCAACAAAATACTCCTTTTGTTGTTTATGCAGATTTTGAATGTCAATTAGAAAATCATAAAGAAAGTAGCGTCGTAAATTTAACTAAAACCATAAAATATCAAAAACACGTTCCGTATAGTGCTGGTTTCTATGTAAAATGCAGCTATGATGATAGCCTTTCTTATTTCGAGAGCTTTCGAGGTGCAGATTGTATGGATTGGTTTGCAAATCGTATGGCTGGTGTTGCGCAATTTGTAAACTCAAAAATAAAAACAAGCGTACCTATGATTGAAAAATTAGACACATGTAAGGCAACATCATGTCATATTTGCGGTAAGAGATTTTCAAAAACAAAAAAAGACATAATCGTTAGAGATCACAACCATTTCAGTGGAGAGTTCAGAGGTTACGCACACCAAGCATGCAATCTGAACTTTAGAAAATTGTTTGTTGTGCCGGTTATATTCCATAATTTAAGTGGGTACGATAGTCACTTTATGATTTCGAATTTATGTAAAAAAGGTCGCTTAAGTCTACTTCCCATCAACAAAGATAAATACATCTCCTTTACGCTGCACTCAGATGAAAATAACATTAAATTGCGGTTTATAGACTCTTTTCGATTTATGGGGGCGTCTCTTGATGAATTAGCTTCAATTTTAGCAGTATCAGAAAAGAAAATTTTACAAAGGGAATTTCAAAATTTAGATGAAGATAAATTCAAATTATTAACACAGAAAGGAGTTTTCTGTTACGATTACATTGATTCGTTGAAAAAATTAAATGAAACGACTTTGCCCCCAATTGAAAAATTTTACAATAAATTAAACGATGAAAGTGTAAGTGACGAGAAGTATGCTCATGCGCAATCTGTTTGGCAACAGTTTAACATTAAAACATTAGGAGAGTATTCTGATATATATTTAAAAACAGATATTCTGCTTCTTGCCGACGTTTTTGAGCAATTGCGTAAAAAATGTTTCTCCACCTATGGTCTGGATCCTGCGTGGTACTATACAATGCCCGGATATACGTGGGACTGTATGCTCAAATACACTGGGTGTAAGTTAGAACTACTAAAGGATCTAGATATGGTGATGTTTTACGAAAATGCTATAAGAGGTGGAATTTCGGTGTGTAGCAACCGATTTTCGGAGGCCAACAATAAATATATGCCCGAATATGATCCTGAAAAGCCGTCCAAGTACCTTATGTACCTGGATGTGAATAGCTTATATGGGAAGGCTATGCAGCAACCCTTACCCTACGGAGGGTTCAAATGGGTAGATGATGTAACATCGTTTGATGTGATGTCAATACCCGACGACTCTGACGTAGGGTACGTGCTACAAGTCGATCTATCGTACCCACAAGAACTGCACGATAAACACAAAGATTTTCCGTTTGCGGCAGAACGTAGCGTACCACCCAGCGACGGCGGGGTAAAATTGCCGAAATTAATGGCAACACTTACGGATAAAAAAGAGTACACGGTTCACTATAAAAATTTAAAACAAATGCTAGCTAATGGGTTAAAGTTAACGAAAATCCATAAAATTTTACAATTTAAACAAGCAGCCTGGCTGAAACCCTACATCGAGTTGAATACTCGATGTAGAGCTGCAGCCCGGAATGATTTCGAAAAAAATCTTTTTAAATTAATGAATAATGCAGTATTCGGTAAGACCATGGAAAATATACGTAAGCACCGCGTATGTAAAATCGTTAAATCTTGGGGTGGTCGCTATGGGGCAGCAAACTTGATTTCGAGTTTTCGGTTCCACAGTCGCACAATTTTAGAGGAAAATCTGGTGGTTATCGAATTGAACAAGGCTGAAATAACGTTTAACAAACCTCTGTATGTAGGGCAGGCAATTCTAGACCTATCGAAACTAGTCATGTACGATTTTCATTACACCTATATGCTACCAAAAATGGGTGCAGAAAGGTGTAAGCTCATGTACATGGACACAGACAGTTTTATCTACGAATTGCAATGTGAGGATGCATATGAGGAGATCATTAAAGCTGATTCCAGTAAATTTGATACTTCGGATTATCCTGAAAATAACATATATAAAATACTGCGTAAGAACAAAAAGGTGCCGGGTCTAATGAAAGATGAAAATAACGGTAAAATTATGACACATTTTGTTGGACTTCGAAGCAAAATGTATAGTTACAAGGTGCAGGGTGGGAAGGTGGTTAAAAAATCTAAAGGGGTTAAGTACAATGTTGTTAAAAATAAAATTGCATTTGAGGATTATGTTGAATGTTTGAAAGAATTTAAGGAAAAAACAGCTACACAACGCTGTATCAGGTCGTATGCACACAACGTATATTCTGTTGAACAGTCAAAAATTAGTTTAAGTCCGTATGACGACAAACGTTATTTAATTCCGAACAGTTTTGACACACTTCCGTGGGGGCATTACAGTATCTTATAATAGCGTTTTTTTTTTGTTATAGATGAATGCCCCAACATTATCAGAGTTAGCTGTTAGAAAAATTTGCGAATCAATAACATCATCAGCAGTAGAATTCATGGAGCAGTCTCCACTACCATGGAAATTAACTACGGAAATTGTGAAACAATTTCCTTTATATAAATGGCACGCTATGATTAAAGAAGCCAAAAATGATCTTGATTCTTCATATACAGGAATTAACTTTATTAGATGTCACAAAGAAATAGATCCAAATTTAATTCACACTATATTAGGAAAATCAGATTGGGGTTATGTTTTTGAAGATTATTCTAGTTACTGTCTATGGACAAGTGGATATTGGCTGGACCAATATTACCTACACGTATGTAAAAATTGTTTATCTAAATTTAAAGAAATACATAAAACTTTAAATAAACGTTTATTTGCCTGCTATGACCATTCTCACGAGGTTCACGATGCACATGACATTATTTTGAACGTATACCAAAAAAAGTATAATTGGTGTCACAGCTGCTTTAAAAGCGTAGTGTTTGAACTAAAAGACCAGGAATCTTGCAGAGATGCCTTACATGATAGGTCTAGAAATAACATCCGAATCCGATTTGATGAATCTGATGTAGACAGCGATATTGAGTTTTAAAAAAAAAACATCACAGCAAACAAATTACAAAAAAATATATAAAAAGCGTTCATCCGTCCTCCAGTTTCTCTCTATCTATTGTACTAACATTTATATATATATTTTTTTTCAAACATGTATGTAGTACTAACATTTATATATATATATATTTTTTTTCAAACATGTATGTAATTAGATTTAATAAATGAATATTTATAAAAAGATGTTTTATTGATTTCGTTAGATTTTTCTAGTAAGAAGAGTTCACAACAACAACAACAACAAGATGTCCTGATAGCTTGAGTCGTCAGAGGTGTGCAACATCAGAAGCAATGTTAGTGCGTGGTTGGAGTTCAAAACTTAGCGTGTTCAAAAACAAAAAAAAAAACACGCACACACATAATACTAACATTACTTCTGATGTTGTGGCGCGGTTCTTCGGGCTATCAAGACATCTTTTTGGTATTTTTGAACAAAGTGTGCACGTCACGTGCGTCACGTATCACGTCACGTGCGTCACGTATCACGTCACGTGCGTCACGTATCACGTCACGTGCGTCACGTGTCACGTCACGTGCGTCACGTGTCACGTCACGTACGTCACGTGTCACGTCACGTCACGTGTCACGTTACGTGACGTATATCATAATGAAACGACAGATATGCATTTTTACAAAAACTTTATTAAAATCGTTCAAGATCATTAGCGATCCTATGTCTATAGAAAAATATATGTTGTCCTAACGCTATATGTTGTAAAGTACAGCCTACGAGCTTAAATGTATACAATTTTTGAATAGCATCTGAAAACGTATAATTTTGATCATTAAAACTAGCTCGAACAATCTTAAGCGCATTATAATAATAGCTTGGAAATTCAACAGTTTCTAGCATAGACATATACGGTACTAAAAGTTCATTATTTGCTTCTAAAAGAGCGTTCACGTCCATTTCTGAGAGGTAGAAACTAATGTTGTGCTTGGTTATTTCGAGAATTTTCGTACTATCATAGATTAGTCGTCGAATTCTGCAATAGTCACCGCACTCGATTTCGACAGGATCATACTTGTCAGGAAGGTTCTTCTCCTCCTCCTGCTCCTCCGTCTCCTTCACCGTTACCACATTGAGCTGGGTGATTAATTGTTCCCACTCATAGGAACTGAAAGATAGTTTCAACCGTGATGAGTTCCACACAATTACAGCAGGAGTAAATGATCTCGCTGGGCTTAGACCGCATCCAATTTGGTATGATCCATTTGGAAACTGCGTGTACAGCAGATAATGGTCCTCGTTCTTGGCCGCTTCTTCGTACCTTTCCAGAATAGCATCCAGCTCACGGTCGTAGTTTACAGATGATTCGTGTGAGCTGCTGGTGGTGAGGTCAAACTCGCTGCAACTTGAACCACTACCACTGGTATCCATTTTTTTTTTTTACTAGCTGCCTGACTGACTGACTGACTGACTGCAACCGACTGAGAACTCACTTTTAGCAGAAACCCCCCCACCCCATACACCTAGACGATCGCATCATTGTCAATCCAACTATTATGTTTTGCATCAAGGCCAAGCCATTTGACGTACATTTTTTTACCTTTACGACGTAAAACTTTTTCAACTAAATAAACATCTGGATTGGCTGTTTTCTGTAATTCTTCGTCATAAAAGGCTCCTTTGATCGGTGCACCTTGCATATCTTCGAGCATGTACGTTGCAGGGTTGGTAATATTAATTTTAGTAACTTTAAATAATTCCGTTGTCCAGCTTGGAACGTATCCCTTGTCGAATAGCATTTTGGTTTTGCTGATGCGTACAATGTCACCAACTTTAAACTTACGCGGGCCCGCGATTTTAAATGAGTATATTTTCGATTTAAGATACATTTTTCGTTGGATTTATTAATTTGTGATGGTTTACATCCGATGGTTGATGACGTGTTCCATTGTATTCATTGGTAATGCTTTGTAATATATCAATCCATTTATACGATCCCATTAAGCTAAAGTATTTGTAAAGTTTATTTTTCAACGTCCTTATGGCTCTTTCAGCAATGGCCGCTTTCTTGATGCTATATGTACTATAATGATTAATATCATGCTTCTTCATTAAAGTTTGAAATTTACTATTGTAAAATTCTTTACCTTGATCAGATTGTAGATTTTTCGGCGTACGTTCCGTATGTGCGAGGATATCCGAAAACGCACGAGTTATCTCCTCACCCGTCTTTGTCTTTAACGGTCTAGTCCACATAAACTTGGAAAAAGAATCGATTACGACGAGAATTAATTTGAAATTTTTATTTTGATGAGCATAAGGTCGCATTTCAGCCAAGTCCGTCTGCCATAAATCGTCTAAGCCTTTAATGATGGTACGTCGTCTTAGATAATTTTTTCGAGCAGGCTTGTGCAGCTCGTTAACTAGTTGTAGCTTCTCCTTGGCGTACGTCATCATGTTTTAACGCTTTAAATTGTTGTTCCATCGGCTTTATACGCTTAGCAAGATCGAATGTTTTCAATGATATATATGATGTGCGTCCTTGCAAAAGTTGTAATTCATTCAATGATATTTTTCCTTATTGGAGTCAAATCGGTATGAGACTTAATTGTAGCCAACTCCTGTTCTATTCTTGTTGTTATATTTGCAATAGAGTCATCTACATATTTTTTTGTTGCCATATGTTTACCAGAAGTAGGCGGATTTCTCGAAATAAACTCTGTTATTTGATCTGTTTTTGCTGTTATTTTTTTTAAATCAATCACTGAAGTATCTACGTATTTTTTAGTTGCCGCATCTGAATTATCTGTGGGATCTTTTATATTACACAACTTTACGTTCTTGAAGTCAACATTTCCATCAGAAGTATGGGGTAGTGTTAACTTTGGCGGTGTACGCATATACGGAAGTGTCTTTTGTTTATCAAAGCGACGTCCGAATTTATCAAGACTCATCGTGTAAATGAAAGACCAAGGAACTAGATTACTGTATTATATTAGCTTCTTTTAGCTCGTTGAGGATGGCTACTATTTCATTATCATGCGACGTATTGCCAGCTTCCTGAGATGCCATAAGGAGTTTAAGTCGATCGATTAATTCATTGGGATCATCCCAGTACACGTATTCGATTGGTTCCTCGTTGTATGTCAAGTAATCACCGATACCTTTTCCTGTTGGCGGTTTTGATGTTGATGATGTTGTTGTTGTTGTTGTTGTTGAGGGAGTGGATCTTGTTAATGATCGACTAAGTGGACTACGTATTTTTGTAGATGTTGATCGTGTGACAATTGTACCTTTATTTTCTGCACATCTTTAAAGAGAGGCTTAATAATGTGATTATATTTAAATCCTGTCGAACCTTTTAGGCGTCCAAGCGAATCTAAATGAACACCGGTACTTTGCAATAGATTTTTATAGGGTTGTAAATCTGCATCTGCATAGTTTGGGTCATTATAGAATAAAAGTTGATACAGCCCAGGTGTGCCACGAAACCATGTACCTGCTAAGTTTGTCCCCTCAGGTAATATCTGTATTTGGCCAGTCGCTCTATCAAATTTAATTCGGCGTTTACCTAACATCCAACCAATGTTGTCGGTATATATAGGTCCATAATTTTTATCAATTTATCGTTTTGTGTCCAAAAATCTTGTAAATAATTATGGCTTATTGGGGGATATTGATCTAAGTATTCTTCTATTGCTTCTGTGAAAAATCAGCAGGACGCATTTCTTCAGGTAGTGGTGGTGTTTCAGGTCTCGGCGGTATATTACCTTGTTCATCAGTTGAAGCCACGTCTTCTAAATTGAGATAGTTTGGTTCTGTGTGAATA